TGTTTGTTTGTTTGTGTGTTTGTGTGATTACCAGACTTCTGTCAGCGTCCGTAGAGCGAACACTCGGTTTCTTCTCATCAGTCGCACTTTTCTGTGGAAGAACCCATTTCTGAAAGGAAAAACAGAATCAGATGGTTTGAAGTAACTTTACTTAGGTAGAAAGTAGAAATACCATAAAAAAATACTCATTACATTAACGCTGCTCTCTCGCTCTCTTTAAAACACACAAACAGTCGTATTATTCTGTTTTTAATGCAGAAGTTCATCAATGTGGAGCCAGTTTTAAACACTGATCAGGGTTACTCTAAAAATGTAATCTGATACAGTTACTAATTACCTGTTAAATGTAGTCAGTAATCTAATACAAGTGTCACAACATTACAGTAACGTAACCTGATTACTTTGTGTTACTCTGCTCAGTGTTTTTAAACTGTAATCCTGCTATGATCCTAATTTTTACTCAATGAAACTGTAATCTGATTACATATTATTTCTGTCTGTAATGGATTAAAGTTTCCTTTTTTTGTATCCTGGTTACGTAACTCATTGTAATCCATTACTCCCCAAGCCTGCTGCTGGATAGATTAATAGTGTTGTACTGCATTATATTATCATTATATATTTATATTATATTTTTATGTAAAAAGTAACTATAAGGGTCAAATAAATGTAATAAAAAGTAGAATATTTCCCTCTAAACTGTGGTCGAGTAAAAGAGTAAAGTAACACAGAGTGGAAATACTCGAGTAACTTTTCAGTTTCTTACAGTAAATGTTTGTGAACGATCTTAATTACTGATCCTTGTTTACAAACATTAAAAGTCTCTTTCAGCAGTAAACAACAACAATAAAAACAACAACAACAACAACAAAGACACAAAGATCATGGCTGATGACGTCACAGGCCGTGTGACCAGCACGTGCTACTTCAGACTGAAATCAGGTTTGCCTTCAAAATAAAAGCAGCTGATGGGAACATGGTGCTGAGAAGGTTCACAGAAAATACCTTTAAAACATTTAGAATAGAATAGATTATATATATATATATATATCACATTTTAGTTTATGTAAGGTTGTCTTTTTAAATATATTGTTTGGAAACACATTTGTATACATGTGTTTTCTTTTATATTTTCTATAAATCTCCCTCAATGCTGTTCGAAATGAAATGTCAGGAAATCCCTTTATTTAAATGCTTTTGTTTGGCCAGAAACAGTCTAATTTAGCAGTATTGACTCTAATAATGATCAGTATCACCATAAATAACATATGTTTAATTGCACATTGGACAATTACTCCTCCTTAAAAAATTCAAATTCCCAGAGACACTCCAAGGACGTGAGCTCAAAACTCACCAGCCACCGACTGACCACAGCACAGTTTATTTGTATTATTTATTACTTTATAAACATATTTAAAAATCAACAAAATCTTTCCAGAGCTCATGAACAGTTAAATCAGCCATATAAAGTTCTTTTGTTAGTCCTTTATGACATATAGGAGACATCAATATGATCATTGTGCTTTTATCTGTAATATTGTTTGTATTTATGTTCTTT